ATTCTCCAATCTCCGACATCTTCGAATGTTAAGTATACATATTTGTAAAGTTTTTACCGTGCGTACAGGTAAACAGCTTCAGTCTCGTGAGTGCGCTGATGCCTCTGGCCTGAAGCTGGTGGCTTTGTAGGGGTTAAACTCCAAACTCTGCTCTTTTCCACAACAGCGTCGTTCCAATGCGATCTCCCAAACCCGAGCAGAATCACCAAGATTCGAAGTTGCACTCTTAAATGACCAGGAACAATACAAATAGTCGTTTTACAACGTTTTTGGTCCCCGTTCCGAGTCACCGGTAAAGGCTACGAGGGTGACTAAATCATGATCGCACCCGTCAAACACTCACTAGTTCGCAGGTGTGGCCGTGGTTGATACATTTGCAGCTAGCCCCTCAATGATAAAATACGTGCATAGATTTATTAATATCAATCAAATTCAATCAAAGTTTATTTGTAGCAGCGCCTTTATACACGGGCAACACAAAGCGCTTCACAGTCCCACATCCAAAAATCATCACATAAAAACAAACACCAGAATCACAATTTAAAACATTTTAAAATCCACACAAAAGATTAAAACACAATTAAAACATTAAAATCACACTTAAGAATTAAAACATTAAAAACTTTCAAAATTTACAAGAAATTTTTTACAAAAAAATAAAAAAATTGACAGCACGTGCATTTAAAAATGGAGAATAAAATCCCTTCAGTTATATGCACAGGCAACAGAAACAGTCTTTAACCGGATTTGAACATTGACAGAGTAGAACGCATCCCTACATTTTCAGGGAGATGCCTGTTCCAGATCTTAGCTGCATGGATCTGAAACGCAGCCTCCCCATGTTTGGTTCTCACCTGGGCACCTGCAGGAGGCCAGTCCTGTGCTCCTCAGAGTCGGGCGGTTCATATGACACCAACATTGTCACTAATGTATTCTGGTGTTTAGCAAGGCCATGGAGAGACTTGTACACAAGCAGAGCGTTTAAAATCTATTCTTTGAGCCAACAGGAAGCCAGTGAGGGACTGAGGACTCGGACTAATATGGTCATACTTCCTGGTTCTTTCCAGGACTCTAGCTGCTGCAATTTTGGATGTACTGCAGCTGCTTACAGGTCTGTTTGGACAGACCCTGTAAGCAGGCCATTGCAGTAGTCTAGCATGCTGGAGACAAAATGCATGGACAAGAATCTCCAAGTCTGACCCTGGACACTATATTTCTAACTTTGGCAATGTTCTTCAGATGTAAAAAGCTGGTGATGTTATTGATTTTATGTGGCTATTGAAAATTTAGGTCTGAGCCAGTATTACCCCATATTTCTGACCTTGTCTGAAGGAAGTAGTTACGGAGAGGAGGACTGAAGTGGACAAATGGACGCCCTCTCTTGGTTTCTGGGGACCAAAGGACAATGATTTCGGTTTTGTCTGCATTTAGCTGGAGGAAATTATGTTGCATCCACGTCACTGATCTGTTGGATTACAGTAAGGAGCATATTCAGTGGTCCAGTTCTCCTGCAGTCAGTGAGACATTGATCTGAGAGTAGTCAGCGTAATTGTGGTAGGACACTTTGTTTCTTAGTATTAACTGACCTAACGGTCAAGCATGTAGAGAATTAAATAGTGAAGGGTCCCAGGATCGACCCTGTGGTACACCACAGGTCAGGGCCACATCATCTGAGACGCCAAGTCTCCAAATCTCAACAGAGTACTTCCTCTCCTCCAGGTAAGACCTAAACCAGGTCTAGGGGACTGTGCCAGAGTGGACACCAGACCAGTCCTCCAGTCTCTGCGATGAGGATCTCATGGTCGACAGTGTCGAACGCGGCACTAGAATCTAACATGACCAAAACTGTGACTTCTACCTGCTAAAACAGTGTGAAGTTCGGAATGTCGTTTGTTACTCTTCATAGAGCGGTCCAGTGCTGTGGTGGGGTCTAAACCCAGACTGGAAACATATCAAAAGAATTATCATTGTTAAAAATTCAGTAAGTTGTTGGTGAGCCACTTTTTCAAGAATTTTCCAATAAATGGCCAGTTAGATGATGGGGCGATAATTTTAAGTCCCGCAGGATCCAGACTGCTCTTTTTTAGGAGAGGTCTTATGACTGCTGTTTTAAGGCCATATGGAAATGTTCCTGACATGACAGATACAAGTATTACAATGTTGTGTCAGTGAAGGTAACAAACTGCCTCAGGACGGACTTCAGAAATTTAGAGGGCATATATCCAGGATACATGTGGAGGAGTCAGACCTAATGATTATCTTTTTGACAGTTTCAGTATCCACAGGTGCAACAAAGTGGAGTTAGCTCAAAAGCATTCTATGGCTGTTGCATTGTTATAACGTGCTGTGGAGGTGATAGTGTTTTGTGTTCTTGTACTTTGTCATCGAAAAACTGTGCGGAACTAACACCTAGATTTAGAGGAAAAATTCTAGGGGGGCAACTTTACAGGGGGGTTCGTTCAATTACCAAACTGGTTGAACAAAACACAAAATTGTTACTGCAAACTCCAATAATGTCAGGAAAAATAAATTTCTCTTGGTCTACGTAGAACCCGGTTAAATTCACCAACTCCATCTTTAAAGATTTCATAATCGCCCTGGAAATTGGGACTTTCGCCACTTCCGTTCGGGCCCTCCGGCAATCCCTTGCTTCTGTGCCTACCGAAGGTTGCCTTAGTCCATGGACCTTTTTCTTACTGGTAACTATTTATAAACCGTCACAGGAGCCAATGGCGTCCAGAACAGTCAGAACACCTGGGTGGTGACAGAGTTATACAATTCATCAACAGTAGAAGCATGGGAGTTCTCAAATTTAGCTTCCCATGAACAGTTCACTTGTGTTATCATTGTATGTGTCTTCTTCTATCAGTTGTAAATTCAGCTGGTGGTTTGCTAGCAAAAACACATGTCAAAAAATTCACAGAAATGATCTTTCTGACAAAGCACATCAACTACATTATAATTTGATACATTAACCCCTTTGTAAAATTAGCAGGTATCAAGAGTGTGCCCCTGCTGTGGGTAGGGCCCACTCACGTTGCTGAATGAACAAAGGTCTCAAAGTACCAGAAGCAGCTCATTTGCATTTTCTGTCATCAACATTATCAACATTGTTACATTAAAATCACCGTGTAATAATCTAAAAACTAACAAAAATCTGTGCACTCGAATGAAAGTTAGTTCAGTAAAATGGTCAATAAGAATCGCAAAACATGACTGTGGTGGCATGTACAGGCACAACTGAAAAGAGAGTAGATGAATTGCTTTTGTTCCATTTTAAAAAGAAAATCTACTCAAACGATTGGAAAAATTTCCAAGGGGCATTTCTATGGGAGACGAAAAGTGCTCTCTGAAAAAACTGCAGCTATGCCTCCCCCTTTTGTTTTCTGCGTATTTCGGAATTCGAATTTAAAATTGGGTGGTGTTGCTTCTATTAGAACTGCATTCCTGTATTTTGGTCGAGCCATGTTTCAGCCATAAGCATAAAAATCAAGATCATAAGAAGTTGATAAAATTATTAAATAAAAATGACTTTGTTACATAGAGATATGGACATTCAGCATAGCAAGTTTAAAAAAAAACGTCAGAGTCGATTAAATTGGTTGATTGATTTCTACAGGGAACAGAAATTAGCTTTGCAGAGTTGGACGGTCTAACTGCTGTCCTGTTTTGATTTCGGTTTTTTGATTTAAATAACATTTTTTGAGCTGGTGCGAGGAAACACACACAGTCTCAATTGGCTTAAATGTGAAAACCCTTGTTTGTGTTCTTTAGCTCCCAGAGTCAGAAGGGAGTCAGCACGTTCAGTGTTTGGACTGGTAATGCACTGCCAGACGGAGGGAGCAGTGTTTGCACCGTTTTGTACTCACCCGGTGTGGGTGAGCAGGAGGCGGGGGAGTGCGGTGGGGTCCGAGGGGGCTTCAGATGTAAAACAGGTCACGCCCCCCCTCGGGGGAACGCTGAACAACATAAGTATGTAATCCATCAACAGGCTGCTACCGTATCTGTTTGGGTTGTAAATCCCGTCTGGACGATAGGGCCTTCGTTATCGTTTCCAGAAAGGGCAAAGTTATTCACAAAGACAATTTTTAAAGAGCTGCATGTAGCCCCTGAAGCCACACATGTACAGCGCCACCAACACGCACTGTAGAGGCAGTCACCTCTATTGTTTACAGTCTGGATTGGACCAGACAATAAAAAAACAGATAGACCGGGGATTTGAAGGAGGTGGAACAGATCCATAATCAATAAAAAAAAAACAAAAAATGGGTTTTTTTCCTTCGTGACTTCTGGACTGCTGAGTTCATGTCGTTAAATTCCCACATGCACGACTACCGTTGGGAAGACGAGTATCAGGCACCGGGAATGAAGCAGAGGATGGGAGGACGGATGAGCAGGTTCTGGTCGTAGCTCCGGGAATACCGCGAGTGACCGCGTTTTAAAGAAGCGGACGAGACTCACGATGGAATTCTCACAATAAATCAGAGTGTCGGGGCGAAGAGTGGCCTCGGAGAAGGAGCTCGGTGGACGGAACAACAGCGGGTTCACCCGAAGCAGGACCCGGCCTCGAGCGCCGCTGTGAACACATGGATGGAGGAGGAGCGGGGGGTGCGGACTCTCAGCTAAAGGCGACCCACGCTGTGAATGCTCGGGGACGATGGAGACGGATGAGAGGGGCTGCTCTGGGCGCTGCTGATGTGCTGACCAAACCCTTAACAAAGGTAAAGTTTAACACTTTCAAATATTATTTGTTTGGACAATAATGTAGTATTGTATTTTCTTTGTTTATCTCTGTTTTGTATTCTGTAAAAATGAGCCTGAGTGGGGGTGTTGAGCATGATGTGAAATGCAGCCTCATTTATTATGGTTTATTTATTAGCAGGCAATGTGGGTCCTGTGAGGACCCCTACTGGCGTCAAGTAGCTCTATAAATTGCACCTGTTTTGTTTTAATAAATTGATTGTTTCCTCAACTGGAAAGCTGGCTGCTCGCGTCTATTGATGGAAAACACAACAGATGTCCACAAGGGGGCGCTGTCTCCTGTCTCCACCCCATTCCTACATGTTTGTCTGATTAGAAGAAAACTGACCCTGACCTTGACCCCTGTGTGCAGGCAGGAGGTGGGCGAGCTGGACAAGAAGGCCATGCTGCGGGGGCCCCTGGGGGCCTCTCAGCAACTGGAGCTGCTCAGTGCCTGTGAGGACCTGCACTCAGCACTAGAGGGCGCCTTCTACGTCCAGGTGAGACACGTACACATTATTATACTACACGACATGGTTCAATTCAATGTATTCTTGTGCTGCCCTAAATCAGAACCGTAGTTTTCTGACTTTACAAAGCTGTCAATTCATAAACACAGATCAGAGAATCAAACCGTTCAAACTCAGAAAATGCAATGATACAAAACAGATATTATATGACCCTCAGATAAAAATAATAATAATAATAATGATCATGATAATAATGCATTGGTTTTATTTAGCACTTTTCTGGACACTCACTTCATGTCATAATTCATGTGATCAACTACTACTGGAGCCACAGCTGCCCTGGGGCACACTGACAGAAGCGAGGCAACCAATCTGTGCCAGCCGCCCCTCCGTTCACCATCAACCATTCACTCACACCAGACTCATTCTTGGCAATGTGGGTGAAGTGTCTTGCCTAAGGACACAATGACAGTTTGTGACAGTTCGACAGTTTACCATCACCACACCACTGTCCTTAGACCCTCCTGCATCAGAGAAAAACAGCTCTAAAAACCCCAGTGGGAGAAAAGTGAGAAACCTCGGGGGCCCACATTGAGAGAGGGATCACTACAACACACTACAATACACTATAAGGATGATGTTATATTTACTATAAAAACATTATTATTATTATTATTGCTATTGTAATTGTTTTAGTTTTTATTATGATATTACTGTTATTCGCAGCTGAAGTCTGCTGCTCACACTGCTCTGACTAAAGTAACAGCTCGTACAGATAAGAACAGCGTCTGGAAAATCAATACAATGTGACATTTGAATTAGTGACTTAGTGCGAGTGATGTCACATGTGTCTGTGCGCGACAGTGTCCAGGGGCAGGGCATCGGGTTTAACTGTGACTCATCCTCTTAACTTTGCAGATGACTCCAACGTGTGTTTTGAAAGAAGAATAGTGTTGTTTTGGAAAGGTCAGAGGTCAGCGGGACCTTCAGGTGACTCTGGATTCTTCAAAGTTTTCAACAAATACAAACAAGATACACTTAAAAACAGTAGATTTTTTTAGGTACCTCCAGGTCCGACATGACTTCAATTCTGAATGTAAATCAGCTCATTTTACTCACTCTGAAGAAGCGTTTTTTTTTTAATACTAAAGTCAGCATTATATGGGTCTATGCCACAAAGACAAATTTAAAATTGACAGATGTAAGAAACTACATAAAGCAGAAATGGGAAGGGAGGCAGCAATGGTGGTTTCAGAGGAGCTGAATGGGCCTCTCTTACCTGGAAAGAGTTCTGTTGGAAGAATATCAAGATTCAAGATAAACTTTATTGTCCAGACATGGGAAAATTGTCTTGAGCTACAGTATATCCTTAGATTCTTCAAAAGTTCAGTGCAAACACACAAATGACTCTCCTTGTCCTTTCCTCGTCCTCTCCTAGTCCAAGCAAATCAATTTCACATATTTTGGTCTTGCTCAAAATTCAAGGGTATTGGAGAGAGATTCATAGAAATCGGAGTTCAGTGTTTGGTATTGTCAAACTTTGAGTAACGTTACCTTCTTGGAAACAAGAAGTGACAGAAAGTTGTTACAAATCCTTCTTGTGGCGGGTAAACAAGAATATTACTAAGACATGTCTTTATTTCTGTATTTATTCAGAGGATAAGCCCCTTGAGATGAACCATCTCATTTTCGAGGTCGTCCTCGAGATTTCACAAAGTAACAGATACAGCAAAACAGATGCAAGAAAATAATTTAAAAAACAAAAAAAGCAACCATAAAAAACACACACACACGCTGTGACTGTACTGTAATTACACTAAATTAGGATAATACTATTAATAATAGTAATAATAATAATAAGGAGACAGTAAAGACAAGTTTAGGTCTCATAACCTAAGATCAAAAACATTGACATGAATTCTGGAGATATTGTAGCAGAGCTGATTTAAACAGAGGCAGAGAAGTTAGAGAGCGACGGAGCTTTAAATTCAAATGCATGTTTTCCAGCTTCTTTTTTCACTCTTGGGACGACAAAAAAAGATTGATTTGCATGACGCAAACTGTATGAGGATTGGAAAGGAATCAGATGTTGTTTTAAATATTCTGGAAAACTGAGATTAATACATTTGAAAATAAACAATAGCCAATGTAGCTGACGTCTGGAGGACAGAGAGAGCCAACCATGTCTGACTTCTGCACAGCCAACTCTTAACGGCTGCATTAACACAGTATTTGAGATTCTTGTTCATCATCATCAGGAGTGGTTTTCAATGCGCCAATTTCATATTCATCAAAAAGTAAACGCATTTATAGACATTTATTTTCAAAGCAACACACATTCTCAGAGTAAAATACAACCTAAAAAACCAACAAGCAAGTATCCAGTCAATCTTAAATGAGTTGGTTTAACTTTTAGACGGGTTTGTTTGTAAACCATAATAGAACAACTGTAAAAATGCAAGAGGACTGAGTGCAGACAGCGATCAAAACATATAGAGTAAACGTCAGGGGCTCTTTGTGCAGTAAAGTTTATTCCTTTGACATGATTTATTCTTTTCCTTGTTCAAGTTTCTATACTATTTCTATATTCTTGCTTTTACTACAATGTTGTCATGTGACTGTCATGTGACTTGCCTTGGTGAACAAGTCGGAACGTCTCGTCAACAATGAAGGATTTTAAAGTTTAGTCTGAGTGCCTCGGACTAGTGATGGGTAAATGAGGCCTCATGTATCGTTTCAGTAAATCCAGCTGTTATTGATACTGTGTCAATTAAGTGTCGCTGTGCTGCTCTATACTGACGCCTGGTGGATCTTATACATCATTGCAGGCAACTGAGCTAAGACGCCTGATAAAAACATACTGATAAACGACGTATTTTCTGTGGTTATTATTTGATATTTTATGTGAAAATTGTGAATGTGATTTACTAAGATAAATGTTATGAGTGTTTCATTTATTTTTATTCAAAAAATCTAAGTATGTCCAAAGTTGTTCGATTCAGTCGATTGCGTCTTTTGAACACTTTGCAGAACACACGCTCACATGGCACATAGGAAGCTGGGGTACATAACAATTGTCTGTATACCTGGGTGTATTTCATGCTCTGTCTTGAAATACCTTAGCATCGAGGAGGTGCTGTTATTCATATATGCATATATGCCAGTTCTGTTGAACAAATTCAATATTTGACCTGTATGAATTTCTGTTTAAAGATAAAGCATGAAACATGAAATACAAGTACTTCATTTGCTGTTAACGTGTAAAATGATCCCACACAGCAGAATATTGTATGTTGCTTACCGCGATTCATCCCGTTGACACTTGCAGATGCGATATCTTTTAAACACAGTTCGGCGAATCTGTGACAAGTGAAACTGCAGCAGTATTGGTGGCTTTTTCTTAAAGCGACATGTGCATTGATACAGGGCGTCGCTATATGAGCTCGACACGTGTGTCAGTGTTGCTGGACCCATCACTACCTCAGACCACTTCCTCTTTGTTTTCTCTAAATCAAAGACCAATCATGGTTTTTAAAGACCAATCATGGTCTTTTATTATGGATTTGATTTGCCGGGACAACACAGGTTTTTAAAATCTTGAGCAGAGGATCTTCAGAGAGGTTCTTCCTGTGTCGCCTTCTCCTGCAGCACATCCTGGATCTATGAAGTTCTACTGAAGGAGCATCTGCTTAGATCAGTTCTACTGCGTAGAGAGCGGCTCAAGATTTAGATTTATTGACATTAAAAGATCCTTTATTTGTCCCACAGTGGGGAAATGTCAGTGTTGTATCATATAAAAATATATAACATGATTAAACCTCTAACTTTTGCATTATAAAGAAGAAATTCTAGGGCAGTGTCCCCCAACATTTGAGTCGTTAACTTTTCTCATTGAAAACAATCACATGCTCACCACCAACAGAAACTGATGCAGACAAGACAAAGTTTGTCATATAGAAAATCAAGTCTAATCTAATCTTCTCAGGATCATTTCCAAAGGCACAGCAAACATCTCCACGCACACTAACCTGCCACGGTCCACAGGTTGAAACGCCCTGCTACATCAGGGTCTGTGTTCTCTCGGTCTCCTTCAGTCCTGGCCTTTGTTTTGGCCTTCCATTGTCCGTCTACAATGTAGTATCAGTTGTTTCAGTCCTCAATGTGAACTGCTACTGTGCACATTTTGATGGAGATGTGATTTAGACACATGATCCAGGTGTTTACCCAGCATGCACCGGACTGTGTGTCCTGAAATGGCGCCGGAAGTGTGGCCTTGCGCCAGAGTGCAGGGACAATAGTGCTTTTCAGTTAGAGAGGAGAGAGGAGAGAGGAGATCATCCACTCAGAGAGAGAGGAGTCTATGCAACCTGCTCCTGACGCATCCTCCTCCTTTGCTCTTTGGAAGTGAGAAGGCAAATGATAACTAGTGCTGTCAAAACATTCAAATATTGCATTATAGTTACCAGCACCAGCTGTCAGTTAACTCGCAAATAAATATAGGTTCTAAATGTCCCTTGATTTGGTTTGAAAAGCAAAAACCTTAACCCTCCAAAAATGACAGTATGTGGATTTTCTAAGGTGCGGTTTAGACGAGGACGCTGCGACAGTAAAACGTTAGTTGGTAACTGTCAGTCACATGAGCCACACAGATTTTCATTAATTCTTTCACAGTATATTTTAAACATGTTTGAGTTATTTCTATTCTCTTCCGTCTGAGCTGCCTCTGCTCCTCTTCTCTGACCAGCAGGGGACTGTGTATCGGAAAGTACCGGTTTTATATATCGCTATTTGGGCACTCAAAGATGCTATTCTTTCACTCCATACACGGTGATAAACTACTACTGTAGCCACAGCTGCCCTGGGGCACACTGTCCGACTCGAGGCAACCATTGGCCCCTCCCACTACCACTAACCATTCACACACACACCAGACCCATTCTAATATTTTAGCACAACTGCTGCACTTTACAGCTGCGGCCGCCCCACCATGGCCCCTGGCATTCCCAGAGGTCTCCCATCACAGTACTGACCAGGCCCTGCCCTGCACAGCTTCAGAGGTCTGACGGGATCTGGATTTTCCGTGCTTTTGGCCAATTTAGAATTATATGTGTTTAGCCCCAAATCACACCAGTTATCTCAGAGGACTTTACAAAGCTGTCGATTCGCCAACACAGATCAGAGAATCAAACGGTTCAAACACAAGAAATGCAGTGATTAAAAAAAATACATGGAGCCATTGGTCCATTGGTCCATAAGAGGCAGATGATCAATGTCCATAGATTCTATTAGTAGTCTATTAGATAGTTCTATTAAATCTGCAAAGCGCAGTTACGGGGACAGGTTAAAGAGTTATTTCGAGGAAGATGACCCTCGGCGCATGTGGAACGGTATTAAAGCCATCACATCGTGGAAACCTAGCGCTGGGAAAACTGCATCTGTCTGCCAAGCTCTGCCAAACAAGCTGAACACGTTCTACTGTCGCTTTGAATCCGCTGATGCCTGTCCTACTGTATTCCCTGAGTGTTTCAATCAAGGTACCTTCACCATGACTCAGGAGGAAGTCAGGCGTGTCTTGTCCAGGACCACAGTCCGGAAAGCCCCAAGCCCGAACGGCATCCCTCCTCGTGTCCTGAAACTGTGCTCTGAGCAACTTGCCTCTGTGCTAACAGACATTTTCAACCTGTCGCTAAGGAACTGTACTGTGCCGAACTGCTTTAAAGAGTCGACCATCATTCCAGTTCCTAAGAAAACTCCTGTGGCCCTCACGTCTGTTCTTATGAAAACTTTTGAGCGGCTTGTGCTGGACTTCATTAAGAGCCAGATCCCTGTGAGCGTTGACCCGCTCCAGTTTGCTTACAGTCAGAACAGGAGTGTGGAGGATGCCATCTCCTTTGCTCTGAACTCTGTCTACAGTCACTTGGACTGTAAACTTTATTGTCCAGACATGGTCAGTTTACCTTGTCCCAGGTAAACTGATTGAAAAGCTCATGTCTCTCGGTTTAAGTGTTGCCATGTGTAAATGGATTTTTAGCTTTTTAACTGACAGATCTCAGAGTGAAAATCAATGAGTGTTTTTCTGATGTTGTTTCTGTGAGCATTGGTTCTCCTCAAGGATGTATTTTGAGTCCTTTGCTTTTTACTTTGTACACTCACGATTGTGTGTCCTCCTCTGACTCAAACTTGATCATCAAATATGCTGACGACACCACCATCATCGGTCTCATCAGTGACAATGATGAATCCTCTTATAGAGCAGAGATACAAAATGTGGTTCAGTGGAGTCAAACTAACAACCTCCAGTTGAACGCATCCAAAACATGTGAACTGGTCTACGACTTCAGTCGCAATAGTTCTCATTTGTCTGTCGTAATCGACAACTCCCAGGTGCAGATCGTAGAGGAGTGCAAGTTTCTGGGTTTAACTCTGTCTAACCTGAAATGGGTTAAAAACACTGACCGAGTCGTTAAGAAAGCTCGTCAGCGTCTCTACTTTCTGTGTAAACTTAGAGAATTTACCACTAACTCTAAGATTCTGCTTAACTTTTATCGCTGCACCATTGAGAGTTTACTTGTTGGTTCTGTGTCTGTGTGGTTTGGAAACATCACAGATAAAGAAAAGAGAGCTTTAAACAAGGTGCTCCGCTCTGCAAAGAGGACCGTGGGCTGTGAGCTTCCTGTTCTGGAGGTTCTTTATAAATCCAGACTTTTAAACAAAGCTCTTAGGATTGTCAATGACTCTTCTGGCCACCCTGGGAAAGCCATGTTCCAGCTTCTTCCCTCTGGCAGAAGATATCGCACATTTTTTATCCACAGGCTGTTATCAGTGTGAACAGAGCACTTTAATGATTTTCACTTGTTTTGAAACTGTTTTAGTCGATCGATTTCACAGTGACATTTGTTTACTGTTTTATTTGTTTTATTTCTGTCTTTTAATGTTGTTTTATGTCTGTATTTGTCTGTGCACAAATGTGCTAATGTATTCCAATGTGGTTTTTTTTACTGCAAATGGCAAATAAACTGAATCTGAATCTGAGATGTTGAATGTGGAGTGTCCTGGATCATCACATTCAGAGCTGCCTTGTTGTTTGCAGGAGTGTGTGTTTGAGGACCTGGGGGTGAAGCAGAGCCTGTTCCAGGACGTGGAGGCCCTGGTGGGCAGTGATGTGATCCTGAGCAGCTCCACCTCGTGTCTCGTGCCCAGTGCTGTCTTCTCCCGGGTGCAGACGCCCAGCCGCTGCCTAGTGGCCCACCCGGTCTGTGCCCCCTCTTTATCAAAGCTCTTTCATGTTTCATATCTGATCAGAGAGTGAGGTGTTTCACGCAGTCTGCTCTATAAACCAGGTCAACATGTGTCTTTGGTTCCATCCATGCTACTCAAACTGAACGCTCCTAAACAGCAGTTATGGAGGAGGACTTCAAACATTTGTCGATTCGCTAACACAGATCAGATATAGAAAATACAATGATTAAAAACACATGAAATCATTAGTCCATAAATGTGGTTGAATGTGGAGTGTCCTGGATCATCACTGTCGTTAGACCCTCCGCCATCAGAGGAACCACAGACATTGTTGTATTATCGTACTTTACGTTATTTTTACAATTTCTTACATTTAAAATGTATCTAGAACGTCGCGCTAATCTCTTCTCAAGAAAAGCAACACCAAACCATAATGTTATCTTAGTATTCTTCCACCTCCAAAGACTAGTAGAGGTGTTACCCACATTTTGGTCTGACCCCCGGCACTGACTCTCACAATCTGAACGACTGTTCCCAATTTTAGCTGCAAGACTGTTTTTAAATATACTGAATCTGGGTCATGGGGACTACTAGTGGGGTGTGAGGTGATGGGGGTGTGAGATGATGGGGGTGTGAGATGATGGGGGTGTGAGATGATGGGGGTGTGAGATGATGGGGGTGTGAGGAGATGGGGGTGTGAGGAGATGGGGGTGTGAGATGATGGGGGTGTGAGGAGATGGGGGTGTGAGATGATGGGGGTGTGAGGAGATGGGGGTGTGAGATGATGGGGGTGTGAGATGATGGGGGTGTGAGGAGATGGGGGTGTGAGATGATGGGGGTGTGAGATGATGGGGGTGTGAGATGATGGGGGTGTGAGGAGATGGGGGTGTGAGATGATGGGGGTGTGAGGAGATGGGGGTGTGAGATGATGGGGGTGTGAGATGATGGGGGTGTGAGGAGATGGGGGTGTGAGATGATGGGGGTGTGAGATGATGGGGGTGTGAGGAGATGGGGGTGTGAGGAGATGGGGGTGTGAGATGATGGGGGTGTGAGATGATGGGGGTGTGAGGAGATGGGGGTGTGAGGAGATGGGGGTGTGTTCAGCAGCGCCCTGGTCCGGACCCATCCCTGGATGAGCCCGCTGGTTCTGGCCATGGACACCGAGCGCCTTCTCCGCGGCCGCGTCCACTCTTCGCCCCGACTACTCTGATTGTTGGAGATTCCATCGTGAGGCACGTCCGCTTTTTTAACGCGGTCACTCACTGCATTACCGGAGCTACTGTCCCAGATCTGCTCATCCGTCTCCCTCCTCTGCTTCACTCCCTGCCCGATACCATATCCAAGGTAATTGTGCAGGTGGGTATAAATGATATGAAGCTGCAGCAGTCAGAGGTCACAAAGAAGCACTTTATGGATCTGTTCCGCCTCCTCCAGTCCTCCGGGTTATCCGTTTTTATTTCTGGTCCAGTCCCGACTGTAAACCGGGGTGACTGCCTCTACAGTCGCGTTGTGGCGCTCAACATGTGGCTCCAGTCTACATGCAGCACTTTTAACTTTATTTTTGTGAACAACTTTGGCCTGTTCTGGAAGCGTCACGTGGCCTATCGTCCAGATGGTCTGCACCCGAACAAATACGGCACCAGTTTGTTGACGGACTTCCTACGCCATGTTGTTCAGTGCTCCCCGAGGGGGGCGTGACTGTTTACATCTGAGGCTTCTCGGCCCCCACCACCCCCCTCCTCCTCCTCCTCACCCCCCCCCCCCCCTCCTCCTCCTTACCAGCACCGGGTGAGTACTGTGGTGCAAACACTGACCCCTGTCCGTCTGGCAGTGTAACGACAGTCCTGCCACTGAACTGTGCTGACTCAGTTATGCATCTGGAACTTAACAAAGTACAACAGAGTTCACTTTTTAAACCAATAGAGACTGAGTGTGTTCCTCGCACCAGCTCAGAAATGTGTTTTAACTTGAATAAACACAAATTTAAAAGAAGGACAGCAGTTAGACGGTCCAACTCTGGAAATCTAATTCCAGTTCTTTGTAATCAATCAACTAAACCCACTGACACTGATATTAATTTTAACCTTGCTCTGCTTAATGTCAGATCACTATGCAATAAATCCTTTTTAATTAATAATTTTATCTGTTTATGATCTTGATTTTATGTTTATGACTGAAACATGGCTTGACCATAATACAGGAGATGCAGTTTTAATAGAAGCCTCACCACCAAATTTCAAATTTGAATATGAAACACAAGAAAATAAAAGGGGGGGGGGGCATAGCAGCAGTTTTTAAAGATCGTATTGTCTCCCATAGAGTGTCTCTTGGGAAATTTTCATCATTTGAGTATGTTTCTTTTAAAATAGAACAAAAGAAATCTTCTTCCATTCTTATTATTGTTGTGTACAAGCCGCCACAGTCATGCCATAGTTTCACTGATCATTTCACTGAGTTGCTTTCAGTTGTGTGCACAGATTTTGATGGTTTAGTCATTATAGGCGATTTTAATATTCATGTGGATAATGTTAATGACAGATACGCAAAAGAGCTGAGTTCCATACTTGAATCCTTTGGCCTCACTCAGCATGTGAGTGGCCCCACCCATAGCAGAGGACACACCCTGGACCTGCTTATCACGAAAGGGGTGAATATTTCAAAAGTTAATGTAGTTGATGTTGCTTTGTCGGATCATTTCTGTGTATTTTTTAACATGTGTTTTGCTACCAGACCACCCGCTAAATATGAAATTGTTAGAAGTAGACACTTAAATGAAAACACGGGTGAACTATTTATGGGAATGATCCATTTTGAGAACACATCATGTTCTACTGTAGATGAACTGTTTAACTCTGTCACCTCTAGTGTGTTGAATGTTCTGGACGCCATTGCCCCTGTGAAGGTAAAAATGGTCACAAATAAGCAAAAAGCCCCATGGATAGGGCACAGAAGAAAGAGTGCCGGAGAGCAGAGAGAAAGTGGAGAAAGTCCAACCTCCAGGGTGATTATAAACTCTTAAAAGAGAAGTTGTGTGAGTTTAACAGAGTACTACGTAGAACAAGAGAATTATACTTTTCTGAAAACTATTGAAGGCTGCAGCAACAATCTGCGTGTTCTATTTTCAACAATCAATAGATTAACGAACCCCCCTGTTGAGTTGCCATTAGAACACTACTCCAAATCCAGGTGTAATGAGTTTGCACAGTTCTTCAGAGACAAGGTTCAGGGTATCAGAAATGCCATCACCTCTACAACACAAGTAACAATGCAACATCCAGTGAGGCTTTGTGAGCTAGCTCAATTTGCACCTGTCAATGATGAAACTGTTAAAAAGATAATCACAGGTCTTAGTTCCTCTACCTGCAGTCTGGATGTACTACCTCCTAGATTTCTGAAGTCTGTTATGTGTAGTCTATTACCCTCATTGACACAAATAGTAAACATGTCTTTTTTATCTGGAACATTTCCAATGGCCCTGAAAAAGGCAGTCATCAGGCCCCTCCTAAAAAAGAGCAGTTTGGATGCTGCGGTACTTGAAAATTACCGTCCCATCTCAAATCTGCCTTTCATGGGAAAAATTCTTGAAAAAGTTGCCTACCAACAACTTACTGAATTTTTAATATCTAATGACTCATTTGACATGTTCCAGTCTGGCTTTAGACCACACCACAGTACTGAGACCGCTCTAGTCAAGGTAACAAATGATATTCGGCTTAACACTGATGCAGGAAAAGTCTCTGTTTTAGTCATGTTAGATCTGAGTGCCGCTTTCGACACCGTTGACCATGAGATTCTCATGCAGAGACTGGAGGACTGGGTTGGTGTTGCTGGTACCGCCCTAAGCTGGTTTAGGTCCTATCTAGAAGAAAGGAAGTATTGTGTGGAGATTGGAGACTATGTCTCAGATAATATGGCCCTGACCTGCGGAGTGCCACAGGGGTCGATTCTGGGACCTCTCCTGTTCAATATTTACATGCTGCCATTAGGTCAGTTAATTCAAAGTATGAAAGTGTCCTACCACAATTACGCTGATGACACTCAGATCTATGTCTCACTGACTGCAGGAGAGCATGGACCGGTGGACTCACTCCTTCGCTGTATCCAGCGGATCAGTGAGTGGATGCAATGCAATTTTCTCCAGCTAAATGCGGACAAAACCGAAATGATTGTCTTTGGTCCCGAGAAACAAAGAGAGACCGTCATTTGTCACCTTCAGTCTCTCTCCCTGGGGCCTTTAAATAAGGTCAGAAATCTGGGAGTAATAATGGACTCTGACTTAAACTTCAATAGCCACATTGGATCGGTAACATCAGCAGCTTTTTATCATCTGAAAAATATTGCCAAAATTAAAAATATTGTGTCCAGGGCAGACTTGGAGATTCTTATCCATTCTTTTGTTTCCAGTAGGCTGGATTACTGCAATGGCCTAATCACACGTATCTCCAAACATGCAGTAAAACAGCTGCAGTATATTCAAAATGCTGCAGCCCGAGTCCTGACTAGAACCAGGAAGTACGACCACATTAGTCCGGTCCTCAGGTCTCTGCACTGGCTTCCCGTGGCCCAGAGGATAGACTTTAAAGCAGCTCTCCTGGTGTACAAGTCTCTCCATGGCCTTGCACCAAAGTACATCCATGATATGCTAGTCCCATATGAACCAGCCCGGACTCTGAGGAGCGCAGGGACGGGACTCCTGTTAGTGCCCAGAGTCAGGACTAGACAGGGGGAGGCTGCGTTTCAGATTTATGCAGCTAAAGTCTGGAACAGTCTTCCTGAGGATGTGAGACTGGCTGCCTCTCTGTCAATGTTCAAATCCATGTTAAAGACTTTTCTTTTTTCCTGTGCATACAACTAGAGAATTTTATCTTTTTAACACACCTTGTTATTTATTGTTGTAACTTTTTGTGTTTTTAACTATTTTATTGTTTTTAATTACTTGTGTGATTCTTATGTTTTTAAATTACTTATGTGATTTTAATGCTTTTTAATTACATATGTGTTTTTAATTGTATTTGAATGGTGATGATTTGTGCATTGTGTGGTGTGGACTGTGAGGCGCTTTGTGTTGCCCTGTGCAGGAAAAGCGCCCTATAAATAAAGATTGATTGATTGATTGATGGGGGTGTGAGGTGATGGGGGTGTGAGATGATGGGGGTGTGAGGTGATGGGGGTGTGAGATGATGGGGGTGTGAGGTGATGGGGGTGTGAGATGATGGGGGTGTGAGGTGATGGGGGTGTGACGGTCTGCTCTGTACCAGGTGAACCCTCCGTACCTGGTGAAGCTGGTGGAGTTGGTCCCTCACCCTCAGACCTCTGCTGCTGTGATGGACGCTGCCCAGGCCCTCATGAACCAGGTACTTACATTATGGCCTATAGGTTAATCCTTCTTTTCAATATAAATCTGTCGTCCCAAAGGAAACATGTCACACAGGTAATACAGCGCAACCACATGACTTTATGATGTCATTGTTTTATATAAACACAGAACTTTGGTTTTTGCTCTGGGTTTTTTCATGGGTTCAACTTAAAGCTATAAAACTGAACAAGACCCCGAGATACTTGAACATCTCCACTTGAATAAGGACCTCACCACCCACCTGGAGAGGGCACTTTTTTCCGGTCGAGCACCATGGCCTCAGATTTGGAGGTGCTGATTCTCATCCCAGCCGCTTCACACTCTGCTGCAAACCGTCCCTGTGCTCGTTGGAGCCAACAGGACAACATTGAAGACAGTAAACTGAACCGGTGACAAAGGGCAGCCTTGCACCGGGAACAGGTCTGACTTACTGGCATCGTGTTTTGTGGTTTAGCCAAATTATAAGAAGTAGTTCAACAGCTCTTTTTAAAAGACCCAATGCATCATGGTGTGTAAATAAGTACGTTTTTATTTATATAACGCCTTTTACACTTCAGAGTCACACAGTACTTTACAATTGTCTCTCTGTGTGTTGTGTCTGTGTTATGTGTTGTGTGTCGGTGCAGGTGGGGCAGGTGCCGGTGCGACTCAGCAGAGAGCTGGACGGTTTCGCCCTCAACAGGATCCAGATGGCTGTGATCGCAGAGTCCTGGAGGCTGGTGCAGGTCAGAACCACACACACACGCACACGCACACACACATGTCCTTGACCGGTTCAGAGAAATCTCAGCTTGGAGCCAGTGCTAGTTACCAAAGAAACACGCTGTTTATCTGGTTGAATTAAATATATAATAACCAGTCTTAGTATTAAAGCTAAAAACTAAATTACTTGTGAAAACTGCAAATTGTACAATTCCACTCATTTCAATGTGAGTGTTAGTAGTTTCAGAGTTCTTGTGTTTAAACTGTGTCAAAATGTTAGATTTGAAAACATTGTTGAAACTTCAGATTCAGGATTCTGTGTGTGTGTGATATATCTGAGAAATGTGTCAAAAGCAAACTTACACTATCAGTACAAGGTCCACACTCGAGGTCTGTCTTTACCCTCCAATGTTCCCTCTAATTTTTCATGGGTCAGGGCAAAAACACAAACCCCCGAGCGGCCTTCACATTTGGATACACCTCCTGTATACACCTCCTGTATACACCTCCTGTATACACCTCCTGTATACACCTCCTGTATACACCTCCTGTATACACCTGCTGTATACACCTCCTGTATACACCTCCTGTATACACCTGCTGTATACACCTCCTGTATACACCTCCTGTATACACCTGCTGTATACACCTCCTGTATACACCTCCTGTATACACCTCCTGTATACACCTCCTGTATACACCTCCTGTATACACCTCCTGTATACACCTCCTGTATACACCTGCTGTATACACCTGCTGTATACACCTCCTGTATACACCTGCTGTATACACCTCCTGTATACACCTCCTGTATACACCTGCTGTATACACCTCCTGTATACACCTCCTGTATACACCTGCTGTATACACCTCCTGTATACACCTCCTGTATACACCTCCTGTATACACCTCCTGTATACACCTCCTGTATACACCTCCTGTATACACCTGCTGTATACACCTGCTGTATACACCTGCTGTATACACCTGCTGTATACACCTCCTGTATACACCTCCTGTATACACCTGCTGTATACACCTGCTGTATACACCTGCTGTATACACCTCCTGTATACACCTGCTGTATACACCTGCTGTATACACCTGCTGTATACACCTGCTGTATACACCTCCTGTATACACCTGCTGTATACACCTGCTGTATACACCTCCTGTATACACCTCCTGTATACACCTGCTGTATACACCTGCTGTATACACCTCCTGTATACACCTGCTGTATACACCTCCTGTATACACCTCCTGTATACACCTCCTGTATACACCTCCTGTATACACCTGCTGTATACACCTGCTGATCCCATTTATTAAATTACTCCAGCTTCCAACAACTATGATTCGGTTCAATACTCACCTGATTGAACCGAATCAGGTGAGTATTGAGACTTGAATAAAAGATTCAAGTCTTTTCTAGATGGTGAATGAAAGTAGTTTAAGGAATATATTTGGTGAATTGCACTAAAAAAAACAAAAAAATCAAAGAGGATTTTGTCTATTCATATTTAATAAAGACTATTTAGAGTATATTAATATTATTATTTAGTCATATGGCTTTATAAAATAAGATCCATAGACTTATAATTATCTAAGATAATAATAGTCATATTGCCACAAAACCAACTTCACTCAGCAATAGGCAACTTTGTGCTGAACTGAAGTGGACGCTGGTCTGACCAGACCTGGCCTTCCCTACATAAGTGTGTGCGCTTTAGGTGTGTTTGTGGCCCCACGCACACATTGCAGCTGGTGTAGTGCTCGTGAGACACCGCTCGCAAAGTCCGCGGCAAGACCGAGTGCGCGAGTTCACGGTGTGCAGGGTGCAGTAGGTCCGAGCCCTGTTCTGGATCAAACACAACTTCAGACTTCTGTGTCGGGCGCTTCTCCCGCACTCGCGGACAGTGAACCTCATGGTCACAGACAGAGAGGCTCTGACTTTTTCTTTATCTTTTTTGAGAATGAAGCTTGCGTAGATCCACCGTAGTCCATACACTGTTGGAATATGTGCCCACATCATTTGTGCTGGAGGTACAGGACGCTGGATTTTCATCGTGTGCGCAGGAAAGAGATATCTGTGCGCTGAGACCCTAAAAGCACAGCCCAATTGCGCACGCACAAACCTTAGAGAGAACATTGTTGTCCTTGTCCTCTCTCTCTAACTCTCTGTCTCTATCTCTCTATCCTTTCTCTGTCTCTCTGTATCTCTATCTGTCTCTCTCTCCCTGTCCTCTCTCTCTGTCCTCTGTCTGTCCATCTCTCTCTCTGTCCTCTCTCACTCTCTCTCTCTGTCTCTCTGTCCTCTCTCTGTCCTCTCTCTATGTCTTAATAATGAATGAATCTTTAATTAAAAAGATTAATTTGTCTGCTTTAAACTTTGTCAGCCGTGGGTCAATACCATATCTCAATATTGTTCTCTCTCTGGTCTTTCTCTGGTATCTCTGGTCTTATTCTCTTGTCTCTCTCTCTCTGCTCTTTCTCTCTCTGCTCTCTCTCTCTCTCTCTCTGATCTCTCTCTGGTCTCCCTCTGGTCTCTCTCTGGTCTCTCTCTGCTCTCTCTTCCCTCTCTCCACACACACATCCTCCAGCTCATGGGATCCTGAGGTGTGTCCTGGTTGTCACCTGAGCAGAAATGGCTGCTAAAGTTCAAACATATTGTAGAGCTCTATACTGGTGGGTTTTGGTCTCTTTCTCTCTTGTCTCTCTCTCTCTGGTCTCTCTGGTCTCTCTCTGCTCTCTCTCTCTCTGCTCTCTCTCTCTCTGGTCTCTGGTCTCTTTGCTCTCTCTCTCTCTCTCTCTCTCTGCTCTCTCTCTGCTCTCTCACTCTCTGGTCTATCTCTGGTCTCTCTCTGGTCTCTCTCTCTCTCTCTGGTCTTTCTTTGCTCTCTCTCTTTGCTCTCTCTGGTCTCTCTCTGGTCTCTCTCTCTCTCTGGTCTTTCTTTGCTCTCTCTCTCTCTCGCTCTCTCTCTCTCTCTCTCTGGTCTCTCTCTCTCTCTCTGGTCCCTCTCTCTGCTCTCTTTCTCTCTTGTCCCAGGTCAGAGTGGTTGATGTTGCAGTTTGTAGTTTAGCTAGTGTGTTTACGGTCACGGCTCAGCTCTGTGGAGTGGCTCATGTGACTCTCTGAGCTTCACTAACACGTGAGGGAGAATGAGGAAAATGCAGCAAAGCGTTTCACATGAAGAAGACCGTCACGCTGCAGAGGCCATAGCTCCAGTCCAGTTGACCTCCGGGTCAGCAGCATTTGGAAAAGGGACCACTTTGTCACCCTTGAGTCTCCCTCTCTCTGTGGTTTCTCCTTCAGTGTCAGAAACTAAGTAAAAACCAGTTGAGATTTAGTATTTAACATTTTATCTTTCTTCTAATATGCCGACTGGTCACAACAGTATACTGCCTCGGGGCCAATCTCCAGATGTTGATGCTTGATCCGGACTACCTCTGGTCTCTCTCCCTTGGCTCTCTCTCTCTGGTCTCTCTATCTTTAAGTCACTTTATGTCACTAATGACCTGCACTAGGACTGAAGAACCAGCACTGCTATTGCCAAATGTGACATGTACATTTCTCCATTGAAAGATTGATATAGTCTCTCTCTGGTCTCTCTCTGGTCTCTCTCTCTGGTCTCTCTCTCTCTCTCTCTCTCTCTCTCTCTGGTCTCTCTCTCTCTCTCTCTCTCTGGTCTCTGTCTCTGGTCTCTCTCTCTGGTATCTCTCTGGTCTCTTTCTCCCTGTGGTCTCTCTCTCTCTGGTCTCTCTCTGGAAATAACAGGATTTATCTATTGTACATTGTCTGACTTTCACATTTGTCTTTGATTGGTGTCTGTATAGGACGCTAATGTTCGTAAAATGTTTCTGAAAGGCGGTGACTCAACAGTAGCAGCATCTCTACTACAACCAACACCTAAGCCTGTTTGTTTTTGTCTTTGAGGTTTTCTGACAGCGTCATACAAGTCCAGGTTCTTACAGCGCATCGGTGTCGTGTTGTCGGAGGCAGCAGCTTCGCTCGGAGGCTCTGTTGCGACTCGTTGAGTGTTGACCATAGATTGTGTGACGCTGCAAGTGTTTTAAAAGGTTCGAGGATGAGTTGGCTGTATGTATTAAAATGGTGTTTATCTCCTTTACCGGTAAAATAAAACAATCTCCCCATGTGCTCAACACACATAAGCACCAGCTGCACACAGTCTATGGTTCTCCTGTTTTCCTGGTTTGCTCGGCGCTTACTCAGGTTTGATGTGGAGTTCTTTGCTGTCGATAGTATTTTTCCTCCCGCGCAGTTTTTTAAATTGTGACCACGGCCTCGTAGTTGTAGGATAAATTAAAATGACCTGTTTCCTCAATCGAAGACATTTTGTTGTATATTGAGACATATTATAACTTCTGTCTCCACTGTGTGTAAATCCTTGTGGTTCAGGTTTTATTGTGGGTAAAAATGTCTTAAGATAAGTGCCATGGCAACACCCTTCCCCCAACGACTCTACAAGATGTGAAGACTTACAAGGACCCACAGGGAAGACAAACCAGTCTGCTTTGGAACCAGGGAGTGACCAGACCTCCCTGGGCTCTGCCCTGGGCTCTGCTCAGGCAACCAAGGGGCTTTGGGCCTCTTAGATGGCCTCAAACCTCAGCTCCACGTTTGAGAGGACTTCCACAACCCTTCAATAGCCTCCAGCTTCAACCTGAAGAAGTTGCTGAGTTTTGGCACCTAGACTGTGGATCGTGGGAGGACTTGGTTCAGCCACATGATGCAGCCGCATGGTCCAGGCCCCGTGGACAAGAAGCCTCCATCCACCACCATCAAGACCCAAGGACTGCTATTCACCAAAGGCTATTCTGGTTGTATGATCTGCTCTCTTGCTACACACAGCTGTTGGCTTTATTAAAACCTATACTTCAAAGAATACTTCTCTTACCAAGGCTGAACACATGCAGGCCTCAGCCTATACCAATCCATTCATAGACAAAGGTCTTGCTTAGCTCACTTTAGCCTAGCATTTTAACAATGTATCTTGAAATC